CCCCCCAGTTTCCTAGCCATATAAGAGCTATAGATGTGAAGGGATCTCTGCCATAAGCAGATAAGAAGGTGGGAGTAGGAGTAATTTGGGGGGGAAAAAAAGTTAACTGAATTGGTTATGGGATTCAGTGCTTAGCCAGCTGCCAGTGACACCATTGGAAGAGAAATCACATCCGAAAGAACTTGGAGCTGGATTCAAAGCTAATCACAACATAGTCCAACTCTTTTTAAAACTGTTACTTTACACAAGTTTAATTGAAAATTGATCTGGTAATGGTATGCTCTTCTAAAAATGTACTTTACATGAATCTTTGAAGGCTATTGAGTTAAAGCATGGCAATGCCTTTAAACATCTTGTCTAAGTGTAAAATGTCACAATGAGAGAATATTAATTTTATTTACCTGCAAATGTTCAGCGATGAGTACAGTTCAAAGTGAATGTGTTCAGCTAAATTATTTTCAATCTATTTTAAATGCTGTTTGATTCAAGCATGTTCTGACCTGTGAATGAATATATTTCCAGCTATCTCGTCATAGAAGGAATCATTCCCAACATAATATACCACATCCTGACTGCATTGGCCCATTGGAACAAATGGTAAGCAGTAGTATTATGTATTTACAATGTATTATGAGTTTTATACTTTAGATTTTATTAATAAAAACAAAACACATTCTTGAAAGAGGAATACCTATGGCTCCAGATGCCTTATTACCTTACAGGATAAAAGGGGAATAAAAATCTCAGCAAGGTTGGCAAATGATACACAGTTTCAATTACCCATTCAATTAAGAGAACTAAATATGACATTTCAGCATTCCTAGCAAATATTTATCACTGGTTGATATTACTTTTCCAAAAGTGAGTGGTTTGTTTTAGCAGATTAAAGATAATTAGCCAAGATGCTAGATGTGCACTTCTCTTTTAAAGAATTTTCCAATCAGCAAGGGTCTGGATGGGGAACAACAGGCTTCAACTGAACCCTAGCAAGACTGAGTAGCTTTGGGTTTTGAGCCCCTCTGGTTCTAGGAGTTTACCACCTTTGGTGCTGGATGGGGTCGCACTGCTCCAAACAGACTCTATGCACAATCTGGGGTCCTCCTGGACTCATGACTCCTGCTCAATGAGCAGGTGGCAGTTGTGGCTTGGAGCACCTTTGCACAATTTCATATTGTGCCCCAGTTGCACCCATTCCTAGCTTTGTGAGATGAGTGGCTATATAAATTAGACTAAATAAATAAATAAATAAATAATATTATAAATAGAGGCATGAATTGGCCTTGGTGTTATCCTTGCTACTTGAGCTGAGGTTCTTCAGGTGTATAGATAAATCTCAGATCGACAAGTACTTGATAATTTTTTTTTTTTTTAATAGAAACCAATTTTGGAAGATGGCTTCAACTTTAACTGATAAAATTTGGGGGGATGAAGGAGGAATTGAATCCTCTTTGCTGTTGCCCTACATGCGTTTAATGACTTTGTAACCAATATTAAGTGAAAATCTAGGCTGTTTTTTGTGGTTATTGCAGCCAAGAGTCCAAAAGGCAGAATAGTTAGTTACTGTACATCTTGAATCAAGAATTTTTTCCAAGACAGTTATTACATTTCTGGGGTACATTCTAGTTGCAACTAAGACAAATCAAAGTAACAGTTTCATTATGTAAGTACAAGGAAAAGGATCAGTTGGTGGAATGGTCAGTGTAAGGCAGGTATGAAGCAGACCAAGTAAGCAGGTTGTAATATTGCTGAAGTTAATAATAAGACAGACTCAGTTTTAAAATCAAGTGTCTTTCTAGCCCAATGGCCACAAAAATACATAGGCTTATCTCTGACAATAACTTCTTCAGATATTCCTCCAAATGTGTTTTGCAATTAGCAAATACCATACAAGGAGATTTATTTATTTATTTATTTATCAAACTTGTATGCTGTCAAACTCCCAATTTATGGATGTATACTTGTCTTTCATTACAAAAGAAGAAGGTTGCACATTGGCATCTATAATCATTCCCAACCATGCTTTTTATTGCCAAATTTGTATACTTAAAAGTATAGAAATGGCCATGATCTTCCAATATGTCTGTGTCTGAGAAAAATGTGTTGCATGTGAAACCTTCCCATATGAATGTTGCCTGATCCCAGCAGGTACAATGAAGTCATTAGGTCATTTGTCCTACCTACATAGTTCCTTCATCCAGATCTTACCAGAAGAGGGTACAGCCATATTCAGTTATAGTAGAATGCAATGAAAGATGAAAATCATAGAATCATAATATTCAAAGGGATCTTGGAGGTCTACTAGCCCAGCCCTTGCCCAGTCCTTATACTATCCAGATATATTTTCAACTTTACTTGAAAACCTCCAGCTATAGAACATCCTCAATTCCAGGAGGCAGGCTGTTCCACTGTTAAATTGTTCTAACCATTAGGACATTTGTCCTTATTTCAAGTTTGTATCTCTGTCTGTAAAGTGTCCACCCATTAGTTCTTGTCCCTTGCAAGCTATGGAGAATTAATCCACATACGTACATCATTTCCACACTTGTAGTGAATCTGCAATTATTTTCAGATGAATGAGGTTACAGTCTCCATGGAATTAGTAACCCTATATAATTAGAGTTCCCAGTCACCCAGAGAATTATAACCATGCTCAACTGAATAAGGTCTTACCCTCACTGCCAACTTTCCCCATTAATACAAGGAACTCAGGGTAAAAGGATGGAGTATAGCATAAATTTGCGCCTCCCTTCTGTATGTTCTATTACCTATAAAGTGAAACCAGATCATGGGTAAATATCTATCATCTATCATCATTGCATTAATGCATTAATTTGGTCAAGGAAATAATTATCCACTGGTCTAATTAACTATCCATGAGTTCTAGATTACATTCTTGAAATAAATCAACATTTCACTATTATTTCTAGAGATATTTTCACGCCCACATTATAATTTTTCTTGCCTTTACTTAAAGCGTATGAACAGTAGATGCACATAGATATACCACAGTACATATAAAGAAATAAACTTATGCTAGCTAATCCTATGAATAAATTGAGAAACTAAATTGGGTCCTTGAACCTTCTGCCTTGTTTCTCTATTCATTTCTGTTTAGGGCTACTCCTTCCTTAGCTTTTCCTTAACTGGAAAGGTGCAGAAAGGGCAGCACTGAAAAAACAAACCAATGATGGATATTTATTGAGGCAGAAGAGATAGCAAGTGCTGTAAGGCCATTTCATGTTCAGTAATCTCATGTCATCCATCTGTGAAATGGCTGAAAAGATAACTTGAATTATCTTGGAGGGACTGTGATGAAACTATTTTAACAGATGGTTCCCAGCACAGCAGACATACGTCTAATGTGGTCAGGTTCAGATGTAGTAATCTTAATTTCTGAACTGTGCATTTATGCCTTGAGACCAAAGGAAAAGATAAGATGAAGGCAAGATACAGTCCTAATGCCTACTTTTTACCACTATTAAGTTTGCATCAATACAATATTGCAATTTCTAGTTATTTCCAGCTTCTGTTGGATAAACTGACATCTCCAATCTGGTGCCTTCCAAATCTGTTGGGTTACAATTCCCATGATGTTTATCCATCTTGGCCAAGGGCCATTCTTACTAAGTTTGATGGGAATTTTAGTCCAAACATCTGGAGCTCACTGGGTTGGAGAAATCTAGAATAAATTGCATAGGCTAGGAAATGACAAATAAATCTGGGGCTTGGATGGTAAATAGAAGCTTTCTCCAACTCAAATTTTAGCCAGAGGAAAATAATTTCCTTGTTCATATCCTGAAATGTACAGTGTAAATATATAAGGTAACAAAGGAGAAGTTGAATAAGCCAGATGCCTACTATAATCTTGGTGCTACAGGGTGGGGAAAATATGAGTTAATTTATGGGAACTTAATTAAAAAAAAAAAGTAATCCCAGTATGGAACAATACAGATCTAGAAACATGGGTGATACATGTTTTTTCTTCTGAAACAATAACCCTGAGAAGTTTGAATAGTATAAACAAACCCATGCATTAGTACCTTGAACAAGGGTTTTAAAATTTTCCGGGGCTCATGAAGAATATGCATTATGTAGCATATGTGTTGCCCAACATGTTTCAAAATCTCAGCTGTTCATATGCTTTTGTGTTTATATTTAAAGACTTGCTAATAAAAACAAACAATATTATCTATGAATCTTTTATAGCCCCTTGCCTGAATATTTTAATTAAAAGTGTCTATTAAGCTAAGAAACATATTTTATTCTTAGAGATAGTCTTATGTTAAGTTGTGCAGCAGTTGAGCTCAGTCATTGCATGACCTGAATCAAGCTCTGAACACAGTGAGATATGAATTCTACTATTATACTTTAGACAATTTGTTATACTTTGACCTGCTTTGGTCAGATCCCTCCTCAGCTACTGTTTCCAGTCCTAGGCACCACATTTTAAAAAAGATTCAGAGAGATTGAGACACGATCAGAGAAGGGTAAGGAGGGTGATTAGAGGACTAGAAATCAAGTTTTAGGAAGAGAAATCCAAGAAGCTAGGCAATATGTTATCACTCTTCAAATACCTGAGAAGATGTTGCATAAATAAGGTCTTCAACTGTTCTTTCTTGTTCTGGACCCAGAGTAATGGATTTAAGTTAGAGGAAGATAGGTTTCCTCTGACACTTAAGAAAAAAAATCCTAACAGTAAGAGTAGTTTGACAATGGAACCAATTGTCCAGGCAGTTCCCATCCATTGAATGTGTTCAGGTGGAAGCTAAACAGCCATCTATTTGAGATGCTTTAATTTAAATTCCTGTATGGGACAATTGGTTGGAATCAGTGCCAATTCTGGGATTCCATAATTCTAATTTTTCTTTGTCTTCTCTGGGAGATCCACATGTAAGTTGCAATACGTCAAGCGTGCATCACTTTCTTCCAGGAAGGTTTGCATGTGTCCTTTGTGTAGACATAAGTAGTGGGCCCAGAACAAAAACAAAATTTGATTTGTTTTAATTTATATTTATTAAGTCAGTACATTGCTATCCAAACATGAATTCATTTTTAGAGTTACTATATTTTAGCTTTCATAAAGAAAGAAAGAAAGAAAGAAAGAAAGAAAGAAAGAAAGAAAGAAAGAAAGAAAGAAAGAAAGAAAGAAAGAAAGACAGACAGACAGACAGACACTGGAGAAATGGCTTCTTTATCTAAATTGTTGCATAGAGAATGGTGTGAGAAATGTACTTATTTGTTTATGCATTTATATCTCACATTCCCTCTGAGAGCTCAAGATGGCATTCAGGGGGTTCTCCCTTCACCATATGACAGTGTTGTCCAAACTTGGCCACTTTAAGATGAGTGGACTTTAACTCCCAGAATTCCCC